AAATTGGCAGATCAGGTGATTAAACAGGAACATGGTGAAACCTAAGAGCGACCACAGAAACACCATTAATGCCTACTGCTGCATGCTTAAAAACAAAAACATCATCAGCTCAGGTCCATAGTCACAAGTTAACATTATCTTTCTTTGCTTAAAAAGAATTGATTTGATTGATTTGACAGTTATTACACTACACTGATGCACAAACCCTATGATATGAATGAGGGAAAAAACGTTCCCATATTGTGGTCTGCAATGTTGCTGTATGTGTGGGTGGAAAAACAAGGTAAACAATTTACACCTTCTTCACATTTGGCATAAATATTATGGGTTTTTTTTTCTTTCTCTTATTTCCTACAAATTTGATCCCAATTTTTGGATATTAATTTTGATTAACAAAGAAATTGTGGCTCTTTAAATCTCCCACCTTCATTTAAGGACCGATTGTATAACAAAGCAACATGTTTACATGTTCATTGCCCAGACAAAAACAGGATTTTCATCTAACTAATTTTCATTTCATCTAGCTTGACTCTACTATCCGAGCAGATGAGTCGTTTTGGACTATTTTAGTTTGCCCTCCATGAATTGGCTGATTTTTGGTAAACACGGTGGTGAAAACACATCGTATGCAGATACATGAGAGGATCTGTGCTGAGTGTCGAGCAGCACAAATGGTGCAGAGCCAGGGCGCCTCTAGTGGCACATCAAAAAAACTTCATTTTTTTCATACTTGTTTACCATCAAACCTTGCTCACGTGTTATATCACACTCATACAGGGTTTTTCTCAACTCCATTTTCTTCATTGTTTTCAGAACACACTTGACTGATCATTCAAAATGGAAAACTAATCGAAAGAAGGACAGTTCGTTTTAAGCCATGAAGAAAAAGACAAAAAGCGTCGATGCTTTGCGAGACACATTTTTGCTTCTTCAAGCCACGAATGAAAACAGAAAGCAGATGCATCTCGTCGACGCTGCACCATCACTGCACACATGCACAGAAATACATCACACAAACAACACACTGCTGTGCTGACCCCGCACACGTTGTGGAAAAAAGGACATTTAAAATGAAATGAATAAAAAAAACAAGCTACTGTTCATTGTCATACATGGCTATCTTTTTTTTACATTTATTTAATTTAATTTTACTGCGACTCAATGTCGACAATATGACTGATTGTTGAAATGAATCTTCTGACTGTACTTTTCTTTCTTTGTTCTCTTGAAGTCAGGTTACTGTCGGTCATTCAGCTCCGCGATGCTGACCCACAGCAGCGTCAAGACAGCCAAGTTCAGACTACAAATGAGATGGATGTGCTTTCAACATTAAGCTGGAACAAATGTGCCTTCAAAATACTCGCCATTAGGTTACATTACATCTCTGTCCTGGAACCTTAAAAAATATGTATTCTGTTTTTTAACTGGAGAACATTAAGAGAGGACGTAGATATGCGTTTGCTTCTACTTAAATTCCTCTTTAAGGTTCATATTTGGTATAAAATGAAGACGTTGCCACAAAGAGGCTTTTATTTGAGGTCTAGCTCACCGGAAGCCCTGTGTTTGCTGTAGCTACCTTGACTGTGGTCCTGCTCACAGACGGTGGAGGAAGATACTCACACAATACATGATAAAAGAGTAAAAAAACAGCAAGGACAATACCTGTCATCTTACCTAAACAACGGCACTGCCTTTAACGTATAACACCCACTCAGCACATTGCAACGCCAGTTTAACTTTGCGAAGTTAAAATGAAAAGAAAAAACCCGACTTATAGCCTAATTGTCGGACAGCAATTAGCTTTCACCAAAATGATTTTTGCTTTTTTACGTTGAATTACTCAAAGTCCCAAAGAGAACATTGAGCTGATAATTTATGGGAAACTAGTGATATAAAAATATATTATAACTGTAAAACGGTGGCATACATCTCTTTGTTTATCCAACAAAGAAACTCACAACTCCCCCCCCCTGAAAAAATACCCCCAACAAAAAAAAACCCTACTCCAAACTCACCCACGTTGATCCTGAACGGTGTGAATATCCACTCTTACTCTTTTCATACAACCAGTTCTCTCTCCAGGAGCAACTTATAAAGGGTAAAGAAACTGTGCTCCTCTCACAGGTACGCTCCTCCGCTTCGCTGTGTCTCAGTGTCTGACAAAACAGTTTTTTTTTCCTCCAGCAGGCTTTTATAGCGCAGCTCGATGCGGAGCGGAGCCGAGCGAGCATCGGCGGAGGTAACCAGCGGTCACCGTTTGATGCTCCCATATAAGGCAAGCACGTGCGGAGTCAAAACATCTCTTAAAGGGACAGCGACACCTTGAGCGCCTCATCGCTTCATCAATGCACATCATTCACATCAATCATTACGGCCAGCTCAAGAAGGGTGTAGGGGGAATATTACATTAACTGCTGCTAGCCTACTTTTAGACTGGGGCTGCTTATGCTACTAATACATTGTCAATACAGAAAGAGTTAAACTGTATATACACATTGTATGTTGTTGGTCATTGCCACAGTATATTTGGATAGTCCGCCTACAAATGGTTTATATATTTGTAACAATTCAACAGCTCATTAGTTGAGATTCAACAACCATTTTCTGATATTACACCACTGGGGTTGAGGTTTGGTTAGGTTCAGGCACAAAGAACATCTTGGTGTATGTTCATGAATTGTCACATTTACTCCACAGATAATTTGTTAAAGATCTACAGACAAAGTGAAAAAGTTACTAATACTCTATAAACATAGATGAACTCTTCAAAAAAAGTGTTGCCCTTTAGTTTTTTTCACCTATGTATACCTACATAATATGTTAGCTTCTTTTGTTCAACTCTGTTGTCCTTGGTTTTAGCCGTCTATTTCTGTCTTGCAATATATATATGTGTGATGTACAACACAATAATATAAGAACACTGCCATTGTCAAGGATTGAAAGTGTAAATGTGTTACATTACAAAATGTAATGGGTTGTAAAATTATACAAAAGAGTACTACAGTTCATTACATGTACTTACATACAGTAAGTTGAGACGTTTGTACAGGTATTTATGGTAACATTCAAAACTTTGCATCTAAACCCCATAAATATACAGCTTTAAAGTTCTTAGCTGGTGTAACTACGGGAATTTTTGTCTCTTGAAAATACTATGAATAGAATCTGCAGGGTAATCTGTTGAAATGCAATGCAGCACTCTCTCAGTCTTGTCTCTCCAAATCTCCACGCAAACGTCTGTGGAATCAAATGTCGCCTGCTGACAGCCTTCTCCTCTTTCTTCTTCCTAAAAAGCAATGCTGTAGGTGAGTAGGTGAATGTTGCTGTCTGTCCATGTGTGTGTGTGTTAGCCCAGTGGCAGGCTGGCAAACTCAGGGTATCCTACCTCTACCCCCAAATGTGTGCTGGGAAAGGCTCCAGCACTCCATGACCATGAACAGGATAAGGGGCTTAGAGAATGGTTGTATGGATGTTACCTTGCCATTGCTTCATATGCAGTTGCTACTTTCATCCATCAAACCCAGACTCAGACCGACGCAGCTTACGGTGATAATATACACCTGCAGTACAGCAATACATGGTTGCAATATACACTTATTTGTTTAAGAAACTGTATTATATTTCTTTACAGATGTTATAACCCAGTTTATCATTCTAGGTTTTTGCTATCTGCACTGAAAGATTATATTTTCCAGTTGAAAATAACTCGTTTCCAACATTACTTGTGAAGGCCAGAATGATTTTTACAAAGCTAGGTTGTTTGATAACAGTTAGTTGACTGATAATTACCTTGAGGATACTGAAAACATTTTCTAACTGGGATATCTTCTGAAAAAAAAAAAAGGTTGTTACTCCTGGCCAGTCACGCGCCTCTATTACTTTAACTTTTATCAATAAATGTACCTGAGCTGAGTCATTACTTTTGATCATCAATAGATGACATAGATGACACAAATAAATGCCCCACTTACACCCAGCTTTATGAAACATGAATATATATTTACAGCAACATTTCCAAGAAGAAAAATTAAAATAACGAGTATTGCAGTACAAGTTTGTTTTCCTGCATCAAGCTAAAATGCACCCCATTCTCCACCATCTTGTTACATGCCAAGTAAATGTGTCCCAAAAACTTTTCCACCCCACTGACTGTGGCTAAACAATGACAGACTGTCTTGAGCATGGCCGCTGTAACTGGACCAAGCAACCGTAAACGCCGTAAACCCAAATGCCTGCCTGGTTTATGTTTGTCTGACTGCATGGCTGCCTGCCACCCATGCCAGATTAAAAGGACCTAAAAGGTGGTCTGAGGGAGCCAAAATCCTAAAAGGCATTTTTCCCTTCATAATGATAAAGTGGGGGTCAGAAGAAAGAGACATTCCTCGTCTTACACGAAAACAACGCATTATCACACGTGCTCGCAGCATGTCCTACTCCTCTCTGCCATGTTACATATAGTAAATTATGGCCCTGCATTACACTTTGAGAGAAAAAAAGTAAAAATCAACCACTGACCCCACACTAACACCATTATAAAAATGTTGACTGCACTGCTAACAAATCTTTAAGAATAAATAGAAGCATTTCCCCTTAACACTAATCCTATTTGTTTATCTTTTGTTGATGTTTCAGGAAAGCTTCAGGAGCCCGATGTACAGTCCAGGCTTACTAATGAACAAAGAACATGACAACCATCTGGCAGTGATTATCTGCCCCAGTGTTCCTCCACTGTCTTTTACTCTGTTCTCTTTGCTTAAGGGTGCAATTAGTTTAAATGGTGATGGTGGACAGCCAAATCGTTCTTTTCCCTTATTCTTTTCCACTTAAATCTGTAGGTACCAAGTGGGGATGCACTATAAAGAAAGCAGGGTGCTTAAATGTAATACTAATTTAAAGATACTAGTGCTTCTCCTCTATCATAGTAGTATGTTCTAATATCTGTTATTATCTTCTAGTGACTGGACACAAACTTCTTTCTGCTTTTATTCTATTTTCTCAAACAGCCTAAAGAGTATCAATTGTTCCACTCATGTACCATGGAGCACATGCTCTTTGGTACATTGCAACAAGTGATCTTGCAAGTTTGAGCTGATTTAGCTTTAGAAAATAGCTACCATGATGACCTCCACATGATTTAGATAGTCCTACCTGGCTCTAGCAGCTGAAACAAGATGAAACAAAGTGTAGGAAAAGGTAAATGTGGGTCATTTAGAAATCTTTTTTTTTCTCCATTGTTGATGTGATCTCCCAGTATGGAGTCTCATTAAAAAAGAATCCTCAAACAGAGTGATTAGACATTTAATCCATCAAAGGGGCTTCAGCACTGTCTGCATGGATGATGTTGGGTGATAATCAGGAGGTTACATGGTGTTAGTGATTCTTAAAGAATATTTTTGTATTATTTAATAAGGACCAGATGATTCTCCCTGAAGTCTGGAGTTTCCTAGAATGATTATAGACCTCAGTGGTTAAATCCAATCAGCTAGTTAATTGCTTTTAACAATGAGAGACTGATTCCGTTTATTCTTAACTAATGCACTTCAAAAGAGTTTAAGAAGTGATATAATTATCATAAAATGTGACATTTAATGTTTTTATTTCATAATTATATATATGTGAAATAAATTACTGAATTACAAAGGATTAAAAAAGTGATTAAGAGTAACATCATAACAATGTAATAATTCATTAGTTCCCGGAGAGGGAAACAGCTTTTTTCATTGCCACCTCCTGTCCTTTCAGAGGGTCAGAGGTCACTGCCAGCTACAGAGCAGCTAACAGGCAATCACTGTTTTGTTCCAGGACATCGGAGGACACAAAACTGCAAAAATGAAATTTACCAGAAGTACGGGACAGATTCCCAATGACATGCACAAGTAGAAGGTATTCACCTCCGCCCAGTCCAGGACAAAAACTTGAGATGGACAGTGAAAGCAACAATAGTCCATTTTCATCAAATTATAGAGTAAAATGTGGGGCTATAAAGTCAGCTGTGTTGAAATCTCTCATTCATTGTGATTATGTGTAGTAAGCTGTCAGGTCCGGTTATTCCCACTGGCTAGAGAACAATGGTTTGTTATGGCTGGCACAGCATGAGGTAGCTTATACACTCAGGACTGGTGGGATCACTAGACTATAACGCACTTAGAATATTAAAAAACTCTTCGCATGTCTTGGTGGTTTATGAAAATAAAGACCATAGTATTCAAAATGTGCAACAGCACATAAAGTTAGAGGACTTTAAACCAAATGGGCTGTATTTTTCTGAAAAGAATCAGCTTTGTTACACAAAAAGAAACAAGGAAAAGTGAAGAAAACTAGGGTTGTGGCTGCCTGCAGGAGGATTTGTTCAGGACACAGTGAAATTTGACTGTAGGTGGTGAGCCATGAACCAACAATCTGAGCTACTGTTGTCAAACAACTGTACATTCATGTTATGTATCAGTCTAAGAATGAGTTCACATAAGACTAAACACAATTGTAATCACTGGTTTAAAAAATGCCTTGCTCAAGGGTACCTCTGCAGTACCTAGGCGGTAAACTGGCACTTCTCCAACAACCTGTGCACACATACTGTGGTCACATGATGGGATATTAAATATTGTGTGGTTATGATCCACATTGGACTGTCCCATTAAGAGTTTATTCAAGTCAACTTAACCTGAAAGAATACATCGACACTCTGGAAAGTAGCCAGATTAGAATGTTGAAGTTCACTCAAAAACATGAATTTATCTTCCTCTATGAAATTAAATGTCATAGGAAACAGGAAACTGATTAGCAACCATGGTCAGTTTCCTGCTTTGTATTGAAACTATGTTTAATGGCATGGTCCCTATCAAATACATAAATCCAAATGCATACAGAAAACCACACAGCTTGGCCAAAAGCTGCAAACCAGGCATTTACTGTCTATGGCAGAAAGATTCATTAGTCTGCTGCCTTCATTTTTGTATTAGCTGAGTGAGTCATAAAAACAGGGCCGTAATACCTACAAGAAGCTCTTTATAATACAGAGTTGGTACTAAGAAATTAAAAACAGACGTGCAACAAAAGGGCCACTTGAACCTAACCACAAGCACAATCACATTTAGACTTTCCTTTTCAACACTTCTACAGGGATAAAGCTAACAAAGGTAGTATATCACTCATTTACATTGGAACCAATTCAGTGGACCCTTGAGAATCAC